GGCCAGAAGAGGGCACCCAATGCCCTGAAGCTGGAGTTACAGGGCTATGAGCTAGCCAGGGTAGGTGCTGACAGTTGAACTTGGATCCTCTTGGAAGAACAACAAGTACTCTTAACCACTGAGCCACTTCTCTAGCCCTGTGCTGATGAACCTTACTCATGAATGATGAAAGAAACATCTCTGTATCCTATTCTGTTTTAAAATGAATTTAAAACGTGTGTGTATATACTCAGCTATGTGGTGGGGGGGAGGCATAAACACACCTGTCTAGACACACCTGTGCATCCAGGTATATGTATCCTTATATTTAAACCAAGGTTTAGATACATTAAAAAAATACCTAACATATAGGTATAAACGAGGTTGGAGAGGGAAGCTAGACTTCCCTGGATGCATGTTGTTTTACAGATATAATTTTGAAGCCATGTAAATATTTTATATAATTTAAAACAATACTGAATATCAAAGAGCAGTCCCCAAAGCCAAATTCTGTATAAAGAAGCTCGTGTGTAGTTCTGAGTGGTGACAGTGTTACTCAGACATTCTTATAGGGAGCACTGAGCAGAGGGATTGTCTGGTGTAGAGATGCCTGTGTGTAGTCCTCAAGCTCAGGCAGCACAGACAGGAAGATTGTGAGGTCCAGGCCAACCTGGGCTACATAGTAAGACCTTGTCTTAGAGAAACACTGATTTGACTGTACATTTATAGTGTGATACACCTTCAGAACAAAAAAGCCCTTTTTTTTTTTTTTTTTGGTTTTTCAAGACAGGGTTTCTCTGTGTAGCTTTGCGCCTTTCCTGGAGCTCACTTGGTAGCCCAGGCTGGCCTCGAACTCACAGAGATCCGCCTGCCTCCGCCTCCCGAGTGCTGGGATTAAAGGCGTGCGCCACCAACGCCCGGCCAAAAAAGCCCTTTTAAAAACATTTTAGGAGGGTGGGAGGGGGAAGAATAAGGGAACCCATGGCTAATATGTAGAACTGAATGGTATTGTAAAATAAAATATATATATATAAACATTTTAGTTTTTAGTAATCATATTGGTGTTTTTATTTGATAAAGTCAGAAAAGGGAACTAAGTAATTGTGTTGGTATTTTAGAAACTGGAAAGAAACAGAATATATGAAGGTAATTTGAATTTGGTCAGTATGACCTCAAAATGTAACTTTTCTTCATATAAAAACTGAGTAATTTCCTAAGCCAGTCAGTGATGGTAGTTCATATCTGTAAACCCAGCACTTGGGAGGCAGGAACAAGAGAATCCAGAGTTCAGGTCCATCCTGTAATACATAGTGAGTTCCAGGGTAGCTTGGGCTACAGAGGTAAACCCTGTCTCAAAAAACAAACAAGACTATTTCCTGCCTTGTCCCCTGTGGGTTAGATGTGGTGGCCCACCCTGTAGCTGTGAGCAGCCTCCCCACTCTAAATTTCGTCTCTTAATGCCAGTGGTCTTAGCCAGTTCCAAGCCAAGAGGGAAGTAACAGCTGAATGAGAGCATAAGGTCATACCAAAGTGAACAAGAAAGCTGAAATTCGCCGGGCGGTGGTGGCGCACGCCTTTAATCCCAGCACTCAGGAGGCAGAGCCAGGCAGATCTCCGTGAGTTCGAGGCCAGCCTGGGCTACCAAGTGAGTCCCAGGAAAGGTGCAAAGCTACACAGAGAAACCCTGTCTCAAAAGCTAAAAAAATAAAAAAGAAAGAAAGAAAGAAAGCTGAAGTTCACAGAAGCCACTACAGCTGGTTGGAACAAAGTGAGGCCCCTGGAGAAGCCCAAGTTGGACTACCAACAGAGTGTAATGACTGAGAAACTTCGGTATGTTTAAACCTTTGGGATGTGTGTAAACAAAGTCTCCTTCTATGGCCCTTAGATGCCAGGGAAATGACTTGTCACTGTTGCTGTTCCCAGTACCACTGAGAGAGTATCTCACTTAGCCCAGGCTGGCCCAGAACTGCAGCTGGGAATGCCTTTGAACAGAATCCTCCTACCTCCACCTCCCAAGGGCTGTGATCACAGGCATGTGCTACTGTGCCTGGTCCAACTTGTTATTTTTTAAATTGGCAAATAAGGGAAGGAAGTTATGTTTTCTTTTGCTTTTTTTAGATGACTGTTGCCCAGAGAAATCACATTGCTGACAAAAGGCAGTCTTTACTTTCAGTATCCTTGTTAATAAATGAAGATGACATGCCAACTCTGTTTTGTCACGAGAGTGGACATTCATCTGCCTTTGAAAACTTTATGCAAACATCAGACAAACCCTGAATCTGATTGCACAGTTAGTTCTAACTGCTGACTTACAGGAAAGGGGACAGACAGCAGAGGATGCTAAATTACACCATGGAGAGTCATTCATTAAAACAGACTGTGGGAAACTGCAGAACAGATGACTGCTGTGTCTAGTGAATTGCCAAGGAAAAAATTTGATAGAGGAGAAATCTGTAGATTGAAAACATATTAACCAGCTGCAGTGTATGACTCTTATTTATATTTTGATTCAAATAAGCATGGGTAAAGTGAACATTTATAGGACATTTGAGGGACTGTGAATACACCGTTATTTAGTGATATTAAAGAGTTGTTGCCTTTGTGTGTGCGAGACTTTTATTGTATCTTTTATTTTTAACTTTTAAGATTATTTTATTTTTATGTGTGTGCACCCACATTTCTGCATGTGCACCACATGCATGGTAGATGCCCACAAAGATCAGAAGAGGATGTTACCTCCCCTGGAACTGGAATTACAGATGGTTGTGAACCACCTTGTGATTGCTAGAAACTGGACCTCGGTCCTCTAGAAGAGCAGTCGATGCTCTTGGCCACTGAGGCATCTCTCCAGCTCTCTATCTTTTATTCTAAGGAGGGCATCTGTTGACAGGTTTACAATAAAATGGTATACTATCTAGAGTATGCCTCACAGTACTCTGGGGGAGGTGTGGTGCATGGAGTTTTATAGAGGAAATGAGTCAGTATGAGCTGAGCATTGCTGGCTGGGGCTTGGTGATGAGGAGAGGCATTTTGTCCTCTCTCAACTTCTGTATGAGTTTTAAGTTTTTCATTATAGAAAAATGTGTAAAATATAAGAAACTAGCCACAGCTGCTTCATAAGCTTGCTCAGAACCCAACAAAAGTCTCAGCAATGTAACTAATTTGTTATTTTCTTACAAGCTTAGCAACCTTTCTTTTTAGTTAACTTTTATATTAATTTCAGATTTACAGAAAATTTTCCGCGATACTACAGTGTTCTCTTGTATCCCTAGCCCATTTTCTCATTTCTAATGTCTTATTTTACCACATTTGTAAAAACTGGGAAACAATATTGACAAATTGCTATTAATACAATACCAGAGTTACTGTCCCTGCTGCTTCTGTAGTCAGACAGTTTCTCAGTCGTCCATTGTCTTCCTTGAGCAGAATGGCTCTAAAGTCCTGGCCAGGATTCTGTAGCATGCCTCCCCACCTCGTTTGTCTGATGTTTTCTCCATGATTAGACTGGGCTTCTGGACCTCAGCAAAGACAAGTAGCCTCACATAACATTACATCCTGCTCCTGCCGTCAGAGGGGTGTCGTGAGCCCTGCGTTGCTTGACTGAGGGAGCATTTGCAGCTTTTTCCACTGTGGAAGGAAGTGCTTCGCTTCCCTGTACTGTTCTTTGGAAGCAACTCACTCAGTCTAGCCCACGCTCAAGTTGGATGGGGAAGGTGGTTAGACTTTGCTTTCAGTGGGATGCTGAGAACACCCAGGTTCAGTGATTGATTGAAACTCCCAGGACTTGGCGTGGGGCTGTGTGTGAGGCTGTGCTTCACATCAGAAAGGTTCTGCTGTAGGATGTCTTTCTGTATGCTGTGAATATGTGCTGCTCTCATTGGTTGATAAATAAAGCTGTTTGGCCAATGGCAAGGCAGAATAAGGTTAGGCAGGACATTCAAACTGAAGACAGAAGGGTGGAGTCAGAGCAGATGTTGCAAGCCACTGCCAGGAGAAGCAAGATGTGAGAGAACAGGTATCCCCATGAAGCCATGTGGCAATGCATAGATCAATAGAAATGGGCTGAGTTAAGTTGTAAGAGCTAGCTAGCAAGAAGCCTGAGCTATGCAGTTTGTAATTAATATTAAGTCTCTGCATGATTATTTTATAAGGAACTGTAGGACCTCAGGTGGGAGAAATTGGTCCAGAGAAACTTCTGGCTGTAGGGTCCCAAGCACAGTAAGCAAAGGAGATGTGTAGGAATGGTATGAGAAAAACCAGACAGAAGCTTCCAAAAGTCCTCACCCAGAAGTGCCCTGGAGAGTACAGCTCCTCAGCAACAACTATGACAAAGCTTGTAAACCTTAAATGACCCGAAGCCGCTTGAGTGGAGGAGCCCAGTGTTGTCCTAGCTGGGACAGACACCTGCCCAGCATGGGCCAAGATTGCGTGTACTAAGGAACCAGATGCCGGCATTAACCACATTCTTAGTGCAAGCGCCTTAGGCTCACTGGACTACACTTTCAACTTAGAAGAGACTTGCTTCCTGGGCAGGTGTCCAGCCTTGAAGGCCAACACAGGTCTTTCTAAGAGTAGCAGGCCTTCACTGCTCATTTTTTTTGCATGGTGAAGTGTCTGTATGTCATAACCCTTGTTATTTTGAAGAGGATAAAGGCAATCATAAAATCTATAGCACATAATAACAGAAGCGATATGATAGTAAGAATGATGAAATGAATATTAAAGTCAGAGCAGGGCTCTTTCTAATAAAATAGGTGGCCATGTAAGCTCTTTGGTTGCTTTTTTAACATTTCTTCCCTCCATTTCTGAACACTACTATAAATATATTACTCCTAGTGCAACTTTTGGAGCATTTCATAATAAAAATGCCTCCAGGTCTTAACCTATTCTGCCAGAGAATTAAAAGAAGGTGTGTGCGCTCCATAGGAATAATGTACTAGTATCACAAGCTTTTCCTAGGGGGAACTACCAGCAGTAACTGCTAAGACTTACAGTACTAGTCATTTTCTTTTTCTTAATAGGAAAAACGTGGTCTTCGAGAATTGCGAGTTCTGGAGAACTTGAAGAATATGATCCAGGAAACAAATGAACGCATGCTTCCCAAGTGCAGAGAGACGATGCAGGGTGGCCTGGAGGAGGCCCTGCAGAGACGTAAGTCTAGCTGTTCTCCTGCAGCCTTGATCTCAGATGTTCCAGACCCAGGCATATTCTCCTGAGTGTTGTTGCAGAGGGGAGGAGAGTGTTCTTGACTGTGGCTTACCATGGGACAGCCCAGCCACAGATAGTGGTTGTCCAGTGTGGTCACAGATGTGATTGGCATTAGTATCCAAAGGAAGATGTATGTGCAAGTATTTCACAAGACAAGCTCTTGAGGATGGGAGAAAATTCATGCTTTTTACCTTTAAAAACTTTTAAAATTTCCTCTACAAGAAAATATATGGTGACTAGAAAATGAGTTTCTTTTTCAAATGGACTATTAGAGGTTTTGGTTGTTTGGAAAAAAAAAAAACAACTCCTTTATAAATGCTTACATTTTATCACCTTTTGCATTAAGCAAAATATTTTAATGAGAAGAGGTAACTGACAAAAGAACATTTGTTAGTGTTTTTTAATATTAGACTTTAACATAAAAGAAACTTGTTGCTAGTGTCTGATGTTAAAATTAGGCTATCAGAACATCAAGGCATCTCCTCAGATGTCTACACTAAGAACTTGCAGCTAGCCCATGGGAATGATGACTGATGATTGAAGCTCAAGGTGGAACCAGCCTGTGGGGGAGAGGATGAATATTGGTGAAATTATTAAGGCAACTCCACGTAGTTAAAAGGGAGGTTTATTTTGTGGGGTAACTCACAAGTGAAGGGATAGGTTACAGGGTCTGGGAAAGGTGTGGCGCAGTCCGGCGGTGTTCTCTGGAGAACTCTGCTCGGTCTACCTTCAGCGTCCAGGGTCCAGGAACCAAGAGAGCCGGGCATCGGATCTTCTTCAGGGCCCCCTCTCAGCCCCGCCTTGTAGGTGTGACCATTACCGAAGCCTCAATGGGGGCTAGAACTTCCAGATCAAAGCTGGAATGGTTACCCACTACAAATGAAACCAGCTGTGAGGGAGGGGTGAACCTAGCCATGAGGGAGGGGATGTTGCCAGCTGTGAGGGAGGCAGGGCAAGGGTCATGTGTACTGTGAGGGAGCAGATGAGGGTCATGTGTACTGTGAGGTTGAAAATCACCCAAGGTCACATTTGACTTGTTCATGTACAACAGCAGGAAAAAATGAAAAAAGAAAAAAAATTGATATTAGGATTTTGTATTATACTCATTTGTTCACACTGCTACATCACCAACAAGCATTCTTGGTAGTTTGCTGCAAGGAAAACCATAATTACTGTTTTGCATATATGAGAGAGAGAGAGAGAGAGAGAGAGAGAGAAACTGAGACTGTGTTTGTGTGTGTGTGTCTCTGTGTGTGTGGTTCCTGTGCACATGTGTATATGTGGAGGCTAGAGGTCAACTCATGTCATTTCTTAGGAGATGTCCACCGTGTTTGTTAAGAGAGCCTTTCACTCTCACTAGGAACTGGGGCTCCCTGAGTAAGCTAGGCTGGCTGGCTGGCCATTGAGCACTTCACCAGCTGAGCCCTTCCCCCACCCCTGATTATTATCAGTTGGGATGCTTAGATATGAATTGAGAAGAACTCTAACACGGGAAGGTTACGAAAGCAGTTGAATAAGACAGGGAGACACGATGAGCAGCTTGTGTGACTGGTTTCCACTTCAGACTGAAGTTCTTCTGCTCTCAGGCTTTCCTAGTGATGTCGGAAAGTATCGCCAGTAATTTAGAATCTGAGCCAAAAATCTGTTTCCTTGAATGGGAGAATTATATTCTAGTGATTGGGGATTTGGCCGCTGAAGCACTCGGGGTGGTACTGTTGGTGTGAGAAACTTGGCCATAGCCTTTGAAGCTGTTCTTCTCCATCAGCCGCGGGAGAAGCCTGGTTTGCTAAGTCTCATGGCCCTAATGAAACAATGACGAGCCTGCAAACTGAATAGTTTTCAAAATTAACCTGGATGTGGTGATATATTGTGTCCCCAATAAATTGTGTACCCTAATAAAACTTACCTGAGGGTCAGAGAACAGAACAGCCACTAGATTAGAGGCCAGAAAATGGTGGCACACACGCCTTTAATCCTATCACTTGGGAGGCAGAGATCCATTCATATCTCTGTCAGTTCAAGGCCACCAGGCGTGGTGACACACACCTTTAATCCTAGCACTTGAGATTGCATGTTTTGCTTGAAAAAGACACACGCCTTAAATTCCAGGAAGTGAGGCAGGAAGCAGAAAGGTATACAAGGCGTGAGGACTTTTAAGCTTTTAGGCTTTTAGCGGCAGTTCAGCTGAGATCTGTTCCTGTGAGGACTCAGAAGCTTTCAGTCTGAAGGTTCATGGAAACAGGATCCGATGAGGAGTTGTCAAGGTGAGGAAGCTGTGGCTTGTTCTGCTTCTCTGATCTTTCAGCTTCACCCCAGTACCAGGATCTGGTTTTTAATTACTAAGACCGTTTAGCAATTCGTGCTACACCTGGGTCCAGCTGTCATCCTAGCAGGGTTCATTTTGCAAAGCTTGACTGCTAAACCCGTGTTAGCATGTTTGTTTTCATTTGTGTAAGATCATTAAAACAAGCTTCAACGTGGAGTATTTTCTCATCTAAGTATAGCAGCGAGTGATAAGTCGTATACTTCTGTGTCTGTCCATGGAACTACCACCTTTATCTCCTAGAATTCATGTTTGAGAACCCTGCAGATGCGGACCTTGCTCACTTGGGCAGAGTGTCCTAGGGCTGAGTAAGCAGAGGCTTTCAGGCCCAACTCTATCTGCAGCTCATCAGAAACCACAGAAAAGAAACAAGAGTCTCTCAGGGCACAAGAAGGCATCCCCTAAGGGAGAGCATCATAGCCGACCCATTCTGAAGACACAAGTGTCTGTGTCCTGCTTCTCAATTATTTAATAGGCTTCTAAATTTCAGCAAGTTTGAGGCAAGGAGATCTTCCCTTGGTTTTCAAGTAAGAAGAACAGGGAGCCCCCAGGTTACCCGATCATATAGCCAGACATGACCACACTAAGGGAATGTTCCCTCACCCATTTCCTATTCTGAAGTATGGTGACTTTATATTATTTAAAAGCAAAAGGGTATCATTAACAAGACAAAAAGAAAACTAGGTGTGGTGGCTCCCATTGCTAACCGTAGCATTTGGGAGGTTGAGGCAGGAGGGTTGCCAGAAGTTTGAAGCAAGCTTGTGGCACACAGTGAGTTACAGACCATCCTGATCTAAAAGATCCTGTTTCAAGAAGAAAAGAAGAAGAAGAAGAAGAAGAAGAAGAAGAAGAAGAAGAAGAAGAAGAAGAAGAAGAAGAAGAAGAAGAAGAAGAAGAAGAAGAAGAAGAAGA